GTACTATGAATTTTTTTCATAATTTTATGCCATACTATACTATGATGTTTTTTTTTGACATTTTTATGCCTTACTATACTATGAAGTTTTTCGATATTTTTATACCATACTATACTATTACGTTTGAATCCATACTATACTATGACTTTTTTTGACAATTTTATGCTATACTATACTATGATGTTTTTTTATATTTTTATACGATACTATACTAGGATATGTCAATCCATATAACACTATGAATTTTTTCAATAATTATATGGCATACTATACTATGACGTTTTTCGACATTTTTATGCCATACTACAGTATGAAATTTTTTTTCCTTGCTATACTATAACATTTTTTGACGTTTTCATGCCATACTGTACTATGACAGCTTTTGACGTGGTTGTGCCATAGCATATTATCAATTTTTTTTAACATTTTTATGTCTTACTATAATATGATGTTTTTTTACATTCTTATGCCATACTATACTATGACATTTATTCACATTTTTATGCTATAGTATACTAACTGGTTTTGTAATTTTATTATGCCATACTATACTATCACGCTTTTTGATGTTTCTATGACTTACTATACTATGACACTTTTATGCCTCAATACATTATGATGTTTTGTGCAATACCATACTATGACGTTTTTTGCACATTTTTATGTTGTACCATACTGTGATGTTGTTTGACATTTTTATGTCTTAGTATACTATGATGTTTTGTCGTGTTTATATGCCTTATTAAACTATGTCGTTTTATGCCTTATTATACTATGACGTTTTTTGACATTTTTATTCCTTACCATAATATGTCATTTTATGCTTATTACACCATGACATTTTTATTCTTGAAATACTATGATGTTTTGTGCCTTACTATAATATGACATTTTTTGACATTTTTATGACATACTATAATATGACTTTTCTGAACATTTTCATGCCTTAATATACTATGATGTTTTTTTTTTTAATTTTTATAATTTTTTTTGCCTTTCTATACTATGATGTTTCATACCTTAGTATATTGTGACATTTTTTGACGTTTTTATGTTTTATTATATTATGACAGCATTGAAATTCTACAGGTTTCATATGTAATTTTACATATATAGGTTATATTTTAATACATAGTATATGCTTTTACTGCATATGTACATAGATTTCATATATGGAAATTCAACACATTTACATATATTACTTTGGATATGGGCATTCCTCAAAATAAATTTATATCTTATATATTAATAAACTGTGTTGAGACCAAACCTACGACCTTTGGTTCTAGAGATACGTTTTGACAGCTTTAATTAATCAAGCCAGATACTGTAAGGATTGTAAGACTTCAGTTCACTGAGGCACTGTACTGCTTTCCCTGTGACCCCCCTGATTTTCATTGTATAATTCGCACTCTGGTGGAAGTGATTGTATTTAAGGAAGAAATGTTTAAGTGCAAGAGACAGACTGAGAGACAGGTCCCATGTGATCAGATTAGCACCTGCTGCTTTGATTTTGTTAGATGAACATGATATCCACTACATTATAATGGACTGCGATGATTCTCACCTTTTCCTCCTTCAAGTATGGGAAGTGCTGGGCCAGAAAAAAAATGTGCATGGATTTTGGGTTGTGAGCTTTGCAGCTAAGTGGGAAAAGACAGATTATGATTGCTGAGAGCAACTTCAGAGGCTCTATCTCTTACGCAGCAGTTTTTATGTCCCAGCTTTAAATATTATCTACAAGAGAGTGGCTGTGGGCATTGTTGCTGGCTCCGGCTGTGTAATGTCAAATCGATACCTGGTGTGTTTCAGGTTTCACAAATGAAAAATACAAGCAGATTTCCAGATCAATGTACAAGAGGGATGTATGACTCGAGGCTCACACTGCTCTTGTAATACAAGACAGATCTATAGCACACCATCACTGGTTGAACAGCTGAGGTTAATCTATGAGCCCAGATGGAAATCGGCACTAAGTTGGCACAGGTTTGACTCGTTCTTATTGACTGAATAAGCCAGACAAATCTATGAGCGGGGGCACAAAAGTTCAGAAATTTTAAAGTTTGCTTTTGAATAGCTCAGTAATTAAAAACACAGACAAACCTCTCAAGTGTCAATTTTCTGTCGGGGAAAAGCTCAGAGTTACAGAGCTACATTAATAATTAGATTTTAATTAAACGAACCAGGAGACCATGTGATGGAGCAAAACTCCTCATCTGTAACACAGGATTTTCCCAAGAGGGAAAACGCAACCTGATCTAGTTGTTTGATGGGGAATTCCCATAATGAGAAAAGGAAAATATTGTGACATTCACACTATTGAGAATGTAACTTTTTTTTCATGAGTGGTTTATGGAGCCAGTAAATGTGAAGAAGTGGCTTTTGCTAATTAATTCTTTGTGTACTGATCTCTTCCTGTAGTTGTTGTTGGCTCTAAAGCCGTGACAAGAGTGAGGGAAGGCAAATACTATGTAATTTACTAAGGAAACCATGGGATGCGGGCATCTTTAAAATCAGTGGTGTGGATGACTGAATGACTTTATGAATGACTGAAGGAATTATTTTCAATTAGTTTTTAATGACATTTTATTGTATGATATTAAAATTTACAAATTGAAACACAATTTGTCACAAAATGAAAAATGTTCAGCAATAAAACACACCTTTGCCTAATTTAATACTCTCTATAGTTTTGCTACTAGGGCCCATGTTGGTCTGGTATGACCAGTAGCTCAGGGTGGCTGATGTTCGCTCATGTTAGCAAACACCATGCAGATGCTGCTTAGTCAGTTCTAGTTAGCACTAAGTCATAAAAAGTTTCAGTGGCTTTGTGAAAACATAAATCTTAACTCAAGGTCTACTTATTAGCTTTCTGCTGAGCTTTCAACCACATCTCTTTCTGGTGCTCTCAAAAAAGCTTTGAGCTCTGGGTCATTTTGCTGAGGAAGACTGTGAGATATAGTTGAAAGCTTTAAATCTCCAGAGAGGAAAAAGCCAGAAAGTGGACCTTGAAGTAAGAATTTTTTTTTTTTTTTTTAAACCACTATTTGGTCAAAAATAAACTTTCATACTCACAAAATAAGGAAACCATCATTCTGTAATATCTACTTGTTTAGCTAAGTCACATAGTCTCCCTTCATGTGTGAAAAATGATTGGCAGTCTCATTCCTAAAAAGCTGTCTTCTACTATGAAAGGCTGACCTGCCAAGCTCCAGTCAAGAGAAACAGCTCACTTTCATTTGAGTCTGTGGTTTGATGTGGATGATGAAAAGCTGCCTGTTATGTGGCAGGAAGATATGAAAAGGAAAAGGGAGTAGAAGTTTTTCAAGTTAGAGGATTTGTTCCCACAGGGCTCACTCACCAGTTGCCAAATTTAGGGATTCCAAAAAAAAATTCTGTGTACTCATGGTACTGTAATGCGATTTGTATAACAGTAGGCCTCTCCACAAAAAGATTACTGACATTTACCATCCGGCTTGAGCCTTTCCAAGCCTGACGACTCTTCCACTGTCGGGCCAGTATAGTTGGCACAAATTGTCACTACAGATGTGTCCCAGTTCAGACACTGGATCCTGTAAAGACATGAAGTCCAGGAGCTCAAGCTGAGCCTCCTCCTCTAATGAGACGTGTAGATGTTGTGTGTGGATGCTCCTCGTCAACATGTTAAGTCCAAGTTTTCCGACTTCATCACTTACTGGCGAAGTGTAAACACCGCTGTGAGAATGTGTTTTATAATGCAGAAGTTCACAGTGCAAGTTCTACCAAAGCAACTTAACAGTAACAAATAGTGGAGCAGATTAATGGTAGGCTAAAATATATTCATGTATTCTCCATTAAAGTAAAGAACCTGTGATGAACAACATGTCCAGTTTTGTGGTAACTGAACAAATGATGAAGTTTCATCCCGTGTTTCATTATTTACACCTTCTATTTTTCATTGGTTTAAGTCAGGTGATGTATTTACCAGACCCTCTGTGTCGACGAACATTGCAAATTTGTACATTTATTCTCTATGTAACAAGTTATTTTTTTAAATTTCCAGGTAAAACTATGTCCAGTAAATGTAACTTTCCCTCTTTAAAAATGCAACTGATGGTTCGCATCGAACCAAATTTCAATTCAGATCGATTCAAAATTCCCTAAATTTTACTCTAAAAACTAAAAGTGGGAGTAAACAGCAACCTCCTTTCAACACTTCTGCTATATGTTCTGTGCATTGTGTTTAATATTTAATTAATATATAATTGTAGGACCTAATATATCTCCTCCTCAGTAATGAATTATCTACACACTTTTTTTTTTACTTCAATTTACTTTAATTTTACACTTTGCTCAAATCCCTGACTTTTTTTTTGCAAGTAAACTCTTTGCCTGATCGCTTTCATCATTCTCACCATCACAGACAGCAATAATGTGACACTGCATCTTGAAAATCCAACCGAGAAAGAGCTCACCTTTTTTTCTCTGTGATTGATAAACTCAGCGTTAGGGCTGCTGTAATATTGTTTCAGTGAATATTCAGTCATTACACACTGTCAGTCTGATTAATCACTCACTGCTGAAGTAAATTAAGGCTTTTGTGTAAAAATTATTTAACTGTTGTATGATACATTACTTGACTTATCATTGAATGTTTTCTACTGCAGTTTAAGCCCCAGCAACACTTTTAGTTCATGAGGCAGTCTGTCTTATTTTGTGTTAAGGAGCTGCTAAAACTATTTCTGTTGGTCCACATGTAAAATCCTCTGAAGCTGCATCATAGCCTTGATCTATGATGTTGCCTCAGAGGGTTTCCCTCCTTATGAAAAGTCAAATTGTTGGGACAAACAATGAATTTCAATACTGAATTTTTTGAAACTTTTCAAAGCTGATATTGGTTTATTTAAAAAACTTTATGTGGCCACCTCAAATCTTTAGACTTTTTCTTTTCTAACTGCACTGAAAGTCATCAAGTGAAAAGCCTTTTAATATTAATCGTGTCTCCTTCTGTGTCTTTGAAGCCATGTTCACAGAGGTGCCTCACGATATGACCGCCCACAGAGGTCAGGATGTGGAGATGGCCTGCTCCTTCAGAGGGGCGGGAACGCCCTCGTATTCACTGGAGATCCAGTGGTGGTACATCAGGAACCATCTGGACTGGACGGACAGACAGCCCTGGACGACCAATGAAGTAGGTTCATAACAGGTCTTTGGCTTAAAAGATATGTACGGTCTTTTGTGATAAGGCAAGGAAATAAAGGTGAATAATGAAATTATTACACTAACTGTTAGTTGTCCACAGTTAACCGACGGACTCCTTTGGTTAGTAAACTATTTACCATAGCTGTGGAGTAAACTGCTGCTGTGTGCAGTGAGGGATACTATTGACTTTTGTTTTTATTTCAATATAATATGTAGCTGCAGTCTGACCCTTGTGTTCCTTACCCTTCCACCAGTTATTACATTGGCACCGAGAGCTCAACACACTGCAACTTAAGAAAGACACATGCAAATACACACAACACAAACAAATTCAGAAAACATCTTCATAAGCTCCAAATGTTTACAATGTCTGGCTCCCTGGTGTAGAGATGCAGAGCTGGGTGATCGATGCACTATAGGGGACCTTTATCAGTTATTTGATTCAATGTCAATCTGAAAAATACGAATGTAATGCACTCAAATAGAAAAGATAAACAGCAATCATAAGAAATACAGAATGTCTAAAAGGATTAAGATTTAATTCTCCTGTTTGTCTTTTGTTTGTTTTCCTAGGTGGCTCCTGAGGAGGAGTTGCCGAAGGATGCCACAAAGATAAGTGTGAGTTAACATCTATCTGCTTCCATTGTTCGAGAGAAGCCTTATGTTTGCCTTGGTATTATATGATGAAATGAGACACAAAACCCTCATGATTACATTTAAATGTCTTGTTCTGGATCATCTGCAGACGTTGCACTCATGCTGTGTTACACACAAGGATCTGATTCTCGCTCAGCGAAGCTCTCGGTGCAGCGAATGATGAGAGACATGGCAACATATTCACTTCATCCGTGATGCGTTTTGTAAAAATCACATTGTCAGCCAAAGAGCAGACAGCGCTGGCACTCGTGGGTGGTTAAGTGTCCCACTTGGGGGGGGGGGGGCAAAGTGCATCATATTCAGATTCTCATAAACGCTCCTGCATCTTTATGACTGCAACACCAAATCCCAATAATAATAAACAGAGAAGGGGGGGGCTGGGAAGTCAGCAGAACTTTTTATATCTCCTCTGGTATCCATCCAGGCGTTTCCCACAATAAGCAGGGAGGGCCTTTTACTGAGGAAGCACAAACATATAGTGACTCAAAAAATTGGACTCTGTCCTTAATTAACTGCAGAAGTGAGTTGAGAGTAGGAAGTACTGCACATTATCTCCACACCAGCCTATTCCTCCTGCTGAATCTCCCTCCACTGACTTCACAATTACAGAAATGAGCAACAACACCTACTGTAAATATAAAGTTGAAGATATTAGATATCTAAAGATACTGTTACAAATACTGTTACAGATACATTGGTGTTTGTGTGTGAAGAGACAAACACGAAAACACAAAACAAAAAACATGAAGCCTCTCTTCTTTCTCCCACCAGGCTAGCTTCTGCTGATTCGCTGTAATGAAAGCACCAGCTGTGGTTTGGGTGACTGAGTGTGAGTCTTTATGTGTGTGTGTGTGTTTGTTTGTGTGGGTGGAGTCGAGCACTGCAGGCTGTACAGCTGGAAAATCATTATTAGCTTTCTGTACATAATGGATGTTGGCCCACATCCATATAGTCAAACGAAAACATGGCAAACATTCACACATGTGCCGACACAAAGCCGACACAGTGCTACAGAAGGTGTTAAGCTTTTTCATACAGTCACAGTCACACATGCGGGGGTTCACACACATACACACAATCCAATGTCTGCTGGCGTCACAGGGAGGAAGGTGGGTGATAAATGAAGTCGTATTTATATCTCGATGCGTCACGTCTCATGATGTCCCCAGACTTGAGAGTTGCTCCCTGAACTTGCTTGAAGCTTTTGCCTTCTAGATGTAGTCGCTTCATGCTTTCAAGGCCACAAATAGAATTTGTTAAACAGCACCTTTGTCAGAGTTTGTGTGAGTGATTGGTTGGGAGGAGGCGCTAGCTGTGGAGGAGTGTATCCAGGCTACAATGGTGATTTCAGCATCACACCTAGAGCTTTCATTCTTTCTTTGCATCACTTCATGTACAGTATCTATCTTCATATATGTTATTTTCCCTTTTAAACACCGAAAAACTTAATTTATGATCTGCAACCAGATGACTGACTTTACATACAGGGGAAGAATTAAAGCATTAGTTTTACATTTTTGGAAATATATGCTTATTTCCTTTTTTGCTGAGAGTAAGATGAGAAGATTGATACCAGTCTGATGTGTACAGTCTGTGCTCTGATGGTGTTTTGTCTGCTTTTTGTCTTGTCCTGTTTGTTTTCTTTCAATGTTCAACATCAAACTGCCTCCAGGGACTGGAAGTAAAAATGAGCCTTTTGGCTAAATCTGACACATTGATAATGTCAGTGTGTCAGATTTAGCCAAAAGTAAAGCAAATATTTAGCTGGAGCCAGGAGATGGTTAGCTTAGCTTAGCTTAGCATAGAGACTGGAAACAGGAAAACAGCTATTCTGGCTCTCTCCAAGAGAAACCTACCAGCTCCTGTAAAGCTCATAAATTAACACGTTATATCTCATTTGTTTAACTTGAACAAAACAAAACAAGTTGTGGATTTACAGGAGATTATGTGTGAAACAGTTTTCTTGGCTGGAAGCACTGATTTGAGTTCCCGTTGTTTGCCTGGCAACCTCACGTGACGAAAAGACAGATGAAAGAAAGTCACTAAAAATCATCCTGGCAACTGAAACCACATATATATGTATACTTTGTTTTTTTGTACAGAGTAAACAAACAAGATATAACATGTTATGTTGTGAGTTACAGAGTTGCTGATATTTTCTTTAAACTTTGCACAGAGCTGGGCTGGTTGTTGTTATGCTACTCTAAGCTAACCGCCTCCATGCTGTAGCTTCCTACTGAACAGACAGACATGAGAGTGGAGTCAGTCTTCTCATCTAACTCTTAGAAAGACAGTAACAAAAGCATATATCCTCAGCGAGTGCACTTCCTGCTTTCATTACCACTCACCAGTTTCATGGCCAGACGGCTCGACTGACTGAGCATCTGTGAGATAGTACCAGTAAGTGTTTGTGTGTGTTAAGGGGGAAATGGATTTTTTTTTTTTTTTTTTCACTCTTGTGCATCTGCTGTGATTCTGCAGGTATTTCATTTTAAAGGGTCGTTTTCAGCTACATATACAATAAAGGACAAGTACAATGAGGAAATGAAGGAAGAGCCAGAAGGAAATAGTGAATGATATATAGCAAGAAAAAGACAGATACCATCAATGATGTTTTTTTTTAATTATACTTATATTTACATATGTATACTTGATCGTTATACACTATGAGCAAAAGCCAAATGCACATTAACAGTAGATGACAGTAAAACCAATGTTGGTACCAACGTGTGAATTGTTGGATAAACAGCAATTCAGTTGATGATTTAATGGTTATGAGTGTTATTCATGTTCCTGCAGTACGTCAATGCAGCTAGAGCAGTGTAATTTCAAAAGAGGAAAACAGCACATTCTTCCTCCTCCAAATAAAAAGTTGAATCCATAATAAAATACAACCTTCCTTAATTCAATACACCTTTGCCAATACAGTTTTTCGCTTATGGCGGCTAATGTTGGCTAATGTTAGCTAACTGACTTACAAACTAACCAAGGTATCAAAATTAATCTGGCCCATACTCGGGACACATGCTTGTTTTTCTTATGGCCCAGTTTACACCTGGTTCCACGGCCCAAATCTGGCCCATGTTTGTCAAACGCTACTTCCACATCTGGACACAGAAAATCTTGTTAGACAATACCAGAGAATAATAGCCAGATTCTGCCCAGATGTAAACGTATATGGGCCAGACTCGGGCCAAGGACCCAGACATGTTGGGACAGACGTTTTATTTTGCTATCTGTGAACTAACTAACTAACTAACTAAAAACAATATTGCTGTATAACTAATGTTACTGTGTAGTTCACTCCAGTTCACTTAACTTTACCTGTGCTACTACCTTTTAGCATTAGGCTAATCATTATCCTGTTGCGGCCAAAGTTGCTGCTGTTCAGCAAAGTTACGCAAGCTTGTAGAGAGAGTTTGATGTTCTTTTACAATTTCACCATCATTTCTTCTCTCTCTTTGCCAGGTCGTAAAGGTTGTAGGGAGCAACATCTCCCATAAACTCCGCCTCTCCCGAGTCAAGCCTTCTGACGAGGGCACCTACGAATGCCGCGTCATTGACTTCAGTGATGACGCAGGTGCCCGCCACCACCGCGTCAGGGCCTACCTGCAGGTGGTGCCAGAGAGCGACATCATCGACGGCAACCACAACAACAACTTCGAGGCCGCGGACGATACCAAGAGGGGGGTGGGATTCGCCGACGGGGACGACATGGAGTCTCACGGTGGCGCCAGAGAGCACGCTCACGGCCATCACCAGAATCACGGGCACCACCAGGAGCACGGCAAGCAGCGGCCTTCGTCGCCAGCTCACCACGGCCACAGCCACAGCAGCAGCAGCAGCAGCAGCAGTCAGCAGCACAAGGCAGGCAGAGAGCTGAGGAAGAGGGACGTGGACAGTAACCACAGCCACAATGACTGCACCAACGAGCCGAGCTGTGCGCCGTAGACGTTGGCCCATTACACCTGAGTGATAGATTGCATAACATGATGTGTGTCACAGCATAGAAAAGCTACTCTTCCCACACAGAAGCAGGCCTGTGCACAAATCCCGAATCCCTAGAAATCTACAGTATGGCTTATTCAGAGCACAGCGCCTTAAACTGTGTGCAAAGGGACGTAGCTTTTTGTTGCTGTGCATGGGTCTGGGTTGGACTGCTCACTGTCTGTAAAGCTTGGCTTCACGGCATTCAGCAAGGGGAGGGAGGGGGCTGACATGTAGATCTAGGCAGCTCCACTGTTTCTGGTCTCAGCGCCGACCAAAAAAAAAAAAAAAAAAAAAAAAAAAAAGACTCTGGCCCTACTATTAACCCATGCTCTGTTCCACTCTTGTACTTTAGATACTGTAAATGACACAACCCTGCTTTCACGCTCATACTTCTTCCACTGCCTTACTCTGTCATTTGAATACACCCACAGAAAATAGCACCATGTTATACCTTTTGAAACTGGGTCTGTCCCCAGTACAAGAAAATTAAACTCCACCATCAGTTAATTTTTCTCTTGGAAATCCTGTCCTTAGCTTTTCACCTAAAGCACCTAGATCTTTCTGTGCAATCAAATAATGGACATGGATATGGTGCAAAACGTGTGTACACCCAAAATTCAGCTACTTATTCAGTGTTTACCTGCGGGAAGAAGGAAACATGCTTTCTTCAGCAGGAAATTCATCAAAGTCCCAGAGCATCAGCGCTCATCAGGGACAGATACGTCCTCATTTCATTTCAGCTGGACTAAATGCAGTGGCAGTGTGGAAAAGCGTGGGATTTCCCCACAACCATGGGTGTTCACAATTCAAACAAAGCACATCACAGGCTGCATTATTCCCACAGCGCTTTTGAGTTTATGAAACAACAGCGCAACAGAAAGTGTGATTTTTATTCAACCCCCCCCACCCCCACGTGCCGCAGGTTCGATCCGCTCATGGCTGTTCACGCTGAGGGAAATCGATCAGATTGTTCCGTGTGGACGCCACCTGTTTGAAAAGCCATGAAAAAGATCAAATCTGTGCCGCTGAATTACAAATCTGATTTGGTGTGCCTCTGAATCTGGATTAGAAATGATTAGAACAAACGTGATCTTGGTGCAAGATACTTTTTTTGCAGAGAGCAGTGCCGTACTCCTGTCTAAGCTTAGTTCCCTTATTCCGATGCTCTGGCCCAGTGCTCATCAATCATTAAAAAGCCTCAATCCTCTCCACTACAAGCCTCTAATCCACTCTGTATATATGACTGTATAATATGAAATAAAGTGAGTGCATGTTCAGTAATTTTTCTTAAAAACTTTTTCAACCAACCATACACAAAGACAGTGTGTTAGTTAAAGATATTTTTGTTTATTTATTAGTTCATTTAAAAAAAAAAAAAAAAAAAGTCCACTCTGTTCTGAATCTTTTTTCCTACTTTAGAAGTCTTGTCAAAAAAAGTTTTTTTTCTTTTTCTTTTTCAAAGCAGTTCTCCGTTGCTTTACTGCTCTCCAAAAGTGCTGTACAGACAGATGAATGAAACATTCTCTTCGTAGCTGCTCAGAAATGGGGTTTCCCTAATGTATCTTAGTACTTAAAGCAGTGTTTCTTAAACTACTGTACTGGATGTGCAGGGCTGCAAACATGAGTGTTACCATATTTTAATGAGCCTGAAAACCTGGATTCATTTCGTGCAGTTTGGGACTCGGTCTGAAAAGGTTTGAGAGGCCATTTCATTTCTGCCATTTTTGTAACTTGACGATAACCTCTTTGCTTAGATGCTTTGTGTGAAGCGCTGCCCTTGTCTGAAGCACACAGTGAGGGGCGTTTTTGGGACAAATGCTTTGCTCTGAAGGAATCAAACGGGACAAAGTGAATGTGGATAACATCCCGGATGAAGCCTTGAGCTGTGACGGTGAGAAGAAAGAGGAAAACGTTGTTATTGAAACACTGAAATTGGCGGTCTGTATGTCAAGTGCTCAAGTGGTTGTGGGCAGTCCTTGTAGACTGGGAGGAGTGATCAGTGGGATTGTTTTTTTTTTTGTTTTTTTTTTTCAACCAGTAACTTTGATTTGATGTTTTGTAAAGAAGAGCTCACTGTTAAAAAAACAAAACAAAAAAAAAAACAAAGAGGGAAAATGTACATTTCTTCTAGAATGTTTGGTCTCACACTAAGTGTATGCCTTTATCAAATGAAATAAATTGTATATGAAACAACATTTTCTCATTGATTTAGATGTGAAAAGGGCGAAAGACACAACAAACTCAGGAGGAGTCACTCCACATTTATATCTCAGGGGTTTGTTTGCTTCTACGTCAGCTGTGGTTTAGGTTTCGGCCCCCGCTGTGTGTGTCTGTCCATGTCCATTATGGAGAAACGATATTAGGCAGTTGCCTGTGTGTAATAGGTGCTGCCAAAGCGCCCCCCACCCCCATCCCACTCTCAGCCCCCGCCTCCCATTGCTGCTGATGACTAATGGTGCTATTGTCAGCACTGGCAGCAGGATAAATAGCAACAGCACAGGACGAGATAAAGAGGCGCAGTGCCGCGCTCACTAGAGTTAAGCCAGGCCGGCTAAATACAAAACACGTGGCGATCTTGTTTCCTCACACTAGAAGGCTCATACATTCATTATGGAGCAATGAGGTGTGGAGGCACCGGGCTGTGAGGTGATGTGATAATGGGCGGGGGTGTGTGTGTGTGTTTGTGTGTGTGTGTGTTTGTAGGGAGGGCTTCCTGTTTCCTTCATTTATACATCTCTTGAGCCCCGCAGGGCTCTGAGTGACAACATGTACAATGATAGATCGGCCAGGATCCCCGTCACGAGGCCTTCGATTTTCTCTGTAGTTACACAGTCTCGTCCTTCTTCTGCTGACAGCACATGTGATGTGGCTGCCAGGGTAAGCTCAAAGGTTAGTGAGGGAATCCCCCCCCAGTGGGGAAGACTTCCTCCGTCCTTTGCATAGCTACACCTGCCAGGGAAGTCTCATTAAGATGAGTCTGGTTTTTATTCGGTCTATATTTTTCTGACTGTTGCAAATTCCATGAAAAGACTCAAACCAGCAATGTGTTGGTTCATCTCTCACCACTTTCTGACTCCTCTACACTGTCTGTGCCTCTCAAGCCTCAAGTCCATTGGATCCGATTGAAGACATAAATCTTAAAAAAAAAAAAAAAAAAGGTCACATTTATATTTTGCAGTTTTTAGCTAATGTGACTCGGTTACACTTTACAGCCCACAAATTATAGTGGAATTATTTAGTGTATACAGGATATCAATAAAATACTTACTGGGTACCTATACAGAGACATTATAATAAGTTCTCAGTAATGAGTTCAGGGGAAGAAGACATTGTAAATTAAGGGGCTGACAACTTTGTGTTTAAGAGCAACACTGTGTTTTCTAAATTACTGAGTGTTTATTGCTTAATTACAGAGCGCAGAATATCATTACGGGGTAATAAGGCAAGAAAAATGGCAAAAAAAATTGTTATGTTAATTAATATTAAAGGGCAGGGAGAAACTCTAGCTACTATATGTCAATGACAGGCAGTTTATCATACTGTAAATCAAACTATATAAAATTTTGGTTTTCCTTTAGCAAAGTGGAACTGCTACACACACAGTCTGGATTCTTTCCTATAACATACATATGGTGGAAGGACATGTATCCTCAGCCTGTATGTACCTGTAGTTATTTAACATGTACCTGGTAACTTTAAAGGTCGTAGGTGAAATTTATTTCTATGTCTCCTAAACACGAATCATTTATGCCCTCATGCACTTCCTCTCTCCCTCTCCCTCTACCTCTTACGTGTGACTCACTCAAAATACATGCCCCAAAAAATAACTAAAAAAAATAATATTATTAACCTTAAAATACCGAATCCAGATGTGTTAAAATAGATATTTTAGCCTGCACCGTCCATCTTTCCAACTTGGGAAGAAACATTTGTAAAAAAAATACCAACCTACTGCTCACATAGCAGATTAGGATTTAGAGTAGGCTTCTTATCAACTAGACTTATGTCAGTTTTATTAATTTGGTACCGTTCAATTTAAACTTCTGCAGTAGTTTTTACTACGAGTGTTGACACAACACCTGAGTTTTCTGTTAGAATACCAAAACAACACTTTACGTTACTTGGCTTTGACGAATATTAACATGTTTCTATATAAAACTCTTGTTTTCATTTAGCAAAAGAAGTCAAAGCTCTGATATTTTAAAAGCTGCCTTAACACAAGCAGCTGTACAAGACACCGTAGTCGAAAGCTGGCAAAACTGTGATATAAAACAGGAAATAATGACAGGACTATGAGATCAAGGATTATTCTTTTCAAAACTTCTCTGAAACGTGAGGCTGAATAATTCAAACCAGTGAGATATTTCAGAGCAAAGTATTTCTTCTGAAAATTAAGAAATAACTCAAGACGGAATGGCAAATATAATATTTGCATTTACAATACATGAAATGAAAAACATCAGCACTGTCACTACCTGTCAGAGGTGTTCATGCTTTCTCCTCCTGCAGCAGGAGGGTGAACAGCAGCGGAGATGCTGCATTGACATTTTCCCTTTGTACCTGGCTGCTTATCAAAGTCGTGTACACCATGAAGGTTATCACAGCCCCTAATCTGATGGCTGTTTTTTCGACACAATTGTCAAGATTCCCATTCAGTTAATTGACTTGTTGGTGTAGCGGTTCAATAAGCCATCCGTCTGAGAGGACAGTCAATCACATCGTTCACCAGCTCATTAGCTGACCGGCTGCTCGACTGTGGCAGCAAACTCTTCCCTCAGTAGTTTCAACACGTTGTCCGAGTACTCGTCTCTCGGCCTGCCCATCCCGCTCAGCTGCACGGGCTGGAGGTCGGGGTGGGGCGGGGCGTAGGACGACGGGCAGTGCAGCTCGTTCAGAGTGAACCAGAAGCTGTCCGGATCCACCTGGATTAAGTGACGGAAAACACTGCGGGGAGGAGCGAAAGATACACGGGAAGAGGATTAGCTCTGGGCTGTGTTTTGCTAAAATGCATAATATCTGTGGTGTGAAGAAAGAAAAAAAAAAAAAAAAAAAAGAAACCCTTCCTGTAATCCAAAGTGACAGACTGAGCTGAACACAGCAGGTTCACTGGTTTAACTACAAGCTGAATAACTCAGCGCTGCCCAGCTTCAGGTTGTTTTTCTTTTTTACCACGTGCACGGAGGAAAAACACAAGTGTTTCACTCCTGTTTGTTTAGTTATTGGGATATCTAAAAATACTTTTTTATGCTTAATGAATTGCATGTAAAGTTTTCTTGTCAAAACAATATTCGTAATAAAGAACTGCAGGTAAAATATGCAGCTCTACACACGTATTGTTTTTAGATATCTCCATTACGAGTTATTTACATAATTCTGAATTTAGAGGAAAGATGAAAAATAACCTGCACCCTTTCATTCAATAACTTAATAATTTGGGAAAACTACAAACTAGCTGATAATAAAAGTCAAATTAAAGGCATATAATATGAAAACTTTTAGAACAAGGTGAGAAGATGAAAATGCACAAGTTAAGATGTGAAGAAGATCTGGGAACACGCTTAAACAGTCAGCAGCTGCCGACACGCCATGTGCAGAAAGAAAAAAAAAACACCAGTTCGGTGAATTGGTCAAACTTTTGTGTGACTGTGGGCCACAGGGCCACACATGGTAACAGTAACATTTTTAACAGTAAGCCTTTGAATATGTTCTGGCCCGCCATTTAATGGCTTAGAAATAAATTGTCCCGAGGCCCCAAACTCACTTTGCCAACCGCTGCTATATGAACAGAAATTGATTGTGTGTTGAAAAAGATGGAAAAATCTTAATCTGCTGCTAAAGTACTGAAGGGAAGTAGTTTAAAATTGGGTTAGAGTTAATACCACTGCAGTGGGCTATGGTGAGGAGTTACCTGAGGCAGGCCTCTTGCAGTGGGAAGGGTTGTCTGCAGCTCAGGTAGGGCAGGCAGGCTTCACACACAGCATCCAGTTCTGCTTCACCTGAGGAAACCAAGACGGGAGGAAAACAAAAACATGGATGATTTTTTTTTTTCTTGATCTTAAAAAGGACAGTATAGATTTAATTCTAGCAGTGTTTCTCCACTGGAGGAAACAGATTGGACCAATTTATTTACATGACAGACAAAATTCATACGTGAACCCTGTGTGAACAGTATCCCAACGTAAGGATGATCAATGTGTTTTTTTTTTCTTCCCTCCGACAATGAAAAATGAGAAGAATATCATAAATCACAGTGGAAATCACTGGAAATCTTTGTGTGTTGTTGTTTTTTTGTTTTTTTTTAAAATAATAATAAATATAAATTGACACTCTGGATATAATCAGTTCCCAGAATATGGCACAGCTTGGTAAGACGGTGTGTTGCAAAGGGGAGGAATGTAGAAGGATAAAAGAGAGAGGAAGATGAAAGAGGAAAAATAGATCATGCCTGGACTTTACTTTTTCTAACCCCTAATGAGCTGAGAGAAACTGCTGAGACGGCTGAGGAAAAATTCCACAGCAGGCTGTTTCCACATCTCTGGATTTCACACCTGAGAACCTGCCCTCCTTCTCCTCTCTCCCCCCTTTTCCACTGACTGTAACTTTCATAACCTCACCAGCGCCTGCTCCCTCTATCCTTCCACTTGACTCCTTTCCACTCTGTCATCTCCTCTTCCGATCTCTCTCTCTCTCTCTCTCTCTCTCTCTCTGTCCCTCCATCCTTCCCAGCAGACATTTAGTGATTCCCTGAGCTGCAAACTGGGCTGCCTTTCAAGCCTCATTTACAAAACATCTCTCTCTCTCTCTCTCTCTCTCTCTCTCTCTCTCTCTCTGTCCTCTCTCATCTTCTCTCTCTCTCTCTCTCTCTCTCTCTCTCTCTCTCTCTCTCTCTCTCTCTCTCTCTCTCTCTCTCTCTCTGCTTACTCCATTTGCCAATTCAACCCACACTCGGCTTGAACCGGGCCTGCTCGCTGTGTGTCAAGAATAAAAGCAGCAGTGCACATTTCAGAGTTAAATGGGATTATTTAGCAACTGCTTTTATCCCCTTTCTTCCTCCCCTTTCTGGTGCTGCACTCATAGCCTGTAGTCTTTTGTGGAATCAAGGTGGTTGGAGGGGAACGGTGGAAGTGAGAAATACCAAAGAGGAAAGGGCCGGGTGCTGTTAGAATTAGCTGTAAAAAGAATAAGAGGGTGGGAGTGGAGCTGAAGCTAGAATAGGAGGTGAAACGTATTATTTGCTTCAGCCAATCTGTGTTTCTGTCTTTCTCTCTCTGTGTGACTGAGGCTCAGTAATTGGCTTGCTGCAGGAGTCCCAGAGGTAAGCAGTAGCCAAATCGGTATTCACATGAGAAAGGCTGCAGCCGCCGACTGTTTTCTCTCCTGCTCTTTCACATTCTCTCCATCTTCCAACACCTAATCTTTCCCCTTCTGATACGAGGGAGAACAGTGTCAAGTGCCAGTTAAAAAAAAATAAAAAAAATCAAGCACAAGGATCTTAAAAAACTTGGATTGGACCGTTTCCTTTAATGTGACAGGAAAGAGATTATTGATGTGAGGGTTGAGGGGGTGATGTTGCTGCAGATGTCTTTTTGTAGTCTACAGTGGTCACGCAATGGGTGGAGCAGCTTTCCCACTGCTCACAGCTGCTATACTACACAACTGCTTTGACTATAAATAAACCAGGTTGAGAATCCCTCAATCGAATCCCCCAGTTAAATCCTGGTATCATGTGCAGACACTGATGGGAAGGCACAGGTAGACAAAAAGTAGTCCTTTATTAAACCCAGTATTAATTTACATTGTTAACCATAACCTGTCTCCCCCCCCGTCCGGACGAAGCAGGACTCCCAAATGTTGGACTTCTTTTTCCTTTTAGCATCACGCGGTACATTCCAGATCAGAAAGTGTTGCACAAATCTGCAGTTTTACCACGCAGGAACTCAGATCAGACAGATGTGCAAAAAGGCATGAAACTGAAACCAGAACCCGACCCATACCTGAGACCTTAAAGTGATAGTTCGGGTTATTGGTGGTCATGCATAGTCAGTTAGAACTATGCATTAGAACTTTTGCAAATGGAGAATGAACGGACTGAAACGGAGAGAAGGGAAACTCCTGTGGAAGCTGGAGGCCAGGCTGTTTTGACGGGAAGATAAAGCGCTGAACATATTCTAAATGAAGAATACATTTTAACAGCTTTTTAGATTGTTCCTGTGTCTAAAACAAGTTTTTTTCTGCTGGCGCCATCCACAGCAGCACATCACTCGGCTAGTGTGCCGGTGCTCCTAGCTGCATCTCCAAACTGGTAGCTTAACTGATCCGAATCTACTGCAGGTAATACACCGACTGTGCATGACCACCTCACACAACCCCACGTCATATAACCCAAACTATCAATTAAAGACTGAGTCCGAACTAAACTGCTAGGTTTGACACACCGTTATATTTTAGTTATTCCTCTTTCTTAGAGATACTCTTGCCTCAGACACACAAACACTTTTCTCACAAATAAACAACAACTAATGTGGGAACAGCCATGATATACACAACTCCTATACAGAAAAAAAGGCATAGAGATCACTAGGACAAACAAATTTCCCGGCAATCCATCCAATACTTGGTGAACCATTTCAGTAAAACCCTGTATAAGTCAACTTGATGGAAAAGAGGATAACCAAAGTCAGGAGACTTCATCCTGTGGGAAACGTGGATATACTGTACAAGCAAAATGTCATGATGGAACATGCAAAAGTTGTTGGGATATTTCAGACTGGACGATGAACGTTTACATCACTAAAGAACCTGCCAATCAGCTGTTCTTCCAATACATCTACCGACACCAACACAACACAAACTGCAGCCAGCTACCAGAGCATGACACTAAAGCATCTAACGACCCCCCCCCCCCAAACATCCCGCACACACTGCAGTTTTCTCTGTAACCAACCAATTAGTTGTCGACCATTTCTTTTCAAATCTCGAACACCATTAACTGCTTCTGTTTTTTTGCCCCGTCGCTGCAGCAACAACGCCATCTTCCCAGACCTCAATAATTACTTGATGAGCACAACGTTCTCATGAATGACAGAAATTATGACCAAAAGTACAAAAACAGGAGCCAAGTTGTAATAAATTGCAATTATCCTTTAACAAGGAAATACAATGCATTGACATATTTTTGTCTCCACTCAAATTATGGTTTCTGCTGTAATTACAAGAAGACTAAAAGAGCTGTAATTAAAGTGCACATAAACCAAAAACACAATGAGATAATCAATGAAAGCCAACCTCACAGGAGAAAACTTTACTCTCTCATTAGTCTTAATGAGCACACTAGACCTGTGTTTATCCTGCTATGACAAGTTAAAATGTCTGATATTAATTTTTGTATTATCTCCCATTTGCCCATACTTATCTCAGCTCATAATACTGCCAAATATAAATAGTCTCCTATAGCGGCTTTCAATATCTTAAAGACCGTTCCAGCTTTAAGAAAGGTGAATGGTGCTTTTTCAGTGGAGTATTCCACTACATTAAACGGATAATTCAAATGGCATTAAATAAACACAGAAATCATCATAATGCTGCGACTAACCTTTAAATATCTTGACTGGTGCACAAAATGCATTTTTATTACTTTATTAGAATCAGAGAAACACAGGACGTGATGTGAAACGTATAAATGTGATCCAGTTTTAATCACACTTGTTTCAAATAAAGAAAAGCGTGGAGAGAGCAAGAAAGAAAGAAAAAGAGAAGTACTGTAAGAAATGCAAAGCAGGAGGTTAAAACTCTGTCATAAAATGGCTTGATCACGAGCAATATTTGTCATTGCTTAATGACATTTTCAGCTAATTTTATCTGATTAATTGATGGCAAAAATATGGAGAAATTTCAAAAATTGGTCTAAAAACCAATAGGTACATTTACTGACTTTTTTTTAATATGTGGTCTATTTCATAAAAACCAACAAATCCCAATTTGACGGACTGAAAGTTCTTCAGCACACTGAAGCAAAACTCATGTAAATCTAATAGAAAGCAGTTTGTAACGTTGCCCACAATGGTCTAACACCTCCCTGAAGAAGTCGCAGCTTTCGTTGTTTTCAACACCTGCATCAACATCAGACAAAATGCTGCACTGCACATGAAATAATTACGGTATTTTGTCCTAATGTGACTTAACCACACAGCTAATTAACCCATTTTACCACAATTTATTTAGTCAGTGAAATTACTGTGAGAGAGCACGGGAGCCTCGGAAAAACAAATGCTCAAACTCACACCTCTGGTATAAGATTTAATATCTGTGAAAGCCTAACCCCAACCCTGTGAAAGAACATTAAAACAACATTTCTGCCTCTCAAAAATCTAAATAAAATTTTTTTTTTTTCAGTCCTGACTTTATTCTGATTTTATTTGAAATACTGTGTCAACATCATCACAAGAACCCAGTATGGCATATCAAACCACAGTGAGAACTTGAATGTATCATTACTTCCCTAATGGTGTAACTGTGGCTCCAGAGCTGGGTTTTATATTTTTTATATTTCTTTTTTTTTTTGTTGTTGTTGTTGTGAAGAACAGATAAAGAAGGGTCGAGCATCTGATGGTAGAAAGTAAAGAAAGGCAGGGATTTATCAACACCAACAAGCAGAGCTGCTAAGCTGATGGGATACTATTCTGTGGAAACCTGGAGGGATCAACCTGATAGGTTAGCAAATAAGCCTGGAGTTTCTGACAGTATGTGCTTCTTCTGATGGAACGGTATATACTATAAAGTCGAACGCCAGTGGGTTTGCCAGAAGAGTGTCAATTTGTAAAGATCGCGATCTAGGCTGTGTAACACTGAATATAGTCCTCAGACATGAGGCTTCGCCATCATGGTAACCATTTGATATTATCATTACAGTGTAAGAATAATCTAAAGGCGAAGACACACACAATAAAATGCAATGATTTTTTTTTTTTTTGCCACCTGGGGTCAGAAGATCAAACTGAAAACACAACATCTGACATATTAATAAAGTTTTGGTCTCTACCAACTCCTGAGAGGAAACAGGGGGCGGTTGCACAACACACAGTCTGAGTTACGGTTTCCTTTAAAATAAAAACAGTTGCACAAAACACCCTCAAAAGGTTTTCACTCAAAATGTTCACTCAAGTTTCTTCAAGGTTTTCTCCTTATCTTAGTCTTAAACTTCAGGAATCACTTAGAGACAGTTATATTGTTGCACAAAAGACCCTAGCAACCAAAGTTCACCATGGCGAAGTTCCCGTCAAAACAACGGGAGCATGAGATAACAGCTATCAAGTGCTAATGGCAGCAAATCAACAGTCTCCATGGAAACAGTAGATTTACGGCTGTGAAATCTCTTTCATTGCTGTAAGTTTCTGAACTTTTTTCCTTAACTAAAGAAAACTTAAGGTCCCAGGCTCTTTAGATGGTAATGCTGATGCTAGTGCTGGCCAAGAAGTGTATATTCGTCTTGCTACATAGCATTACGTTCCTAGTTCAGCATCAAACTTCTTTCCTTGACTTAACTCTTGTCTCTATCACGTCTTTACGTCTACGGAAGTTAGCGCGCTAACCAGCTAACCCCGGCCCGTCTCATCACTTTTTGATAGCGACTCACAGCAGCCTCCGGTAGAAGTAGCGCTGCTCAGAGGACGTATTGTAACCTCTTGTCTTGTAAACACAACGTCAAGCGACAATCCCCATCGCCTGCTCCCGGCAAGAAACCACGTTCAGCAGCAAAGAAAACTTACAAACACCCCCTTTAAAGCTTTTTTTGTGGAAAAACAAATATGTGTGGAGGTTCATTTGTGGGCAAGAAAACCAAAACAATCAGCTAAATGAGGCCAAAAAACACTCTAGAGCTGCAGTTTGTTAATAATTCTCTGAATTCATCACTGTGAGTGACTAATTTCTCACTGCACTGCTGTCACTTGATCCGCTGTTGATATAAAACATATTGATCAGTGCTGCTTTAAGAACATCACATTGCCTTCTGTGTTGAATATTTTGGAGGCTTAAATTCAAAAACATGTAGCAAGCAAGGCATGTTGCTATGGTTACACAATTTTGAGGTCAGTCTATGAATTTAGAGCAGTGTTTTAACTTAAACTGATGCTCCTAACGTGTCTTTAAATTTTTCAAAACTGAACCAAATCCAAAGAGGAACAGGCCAGTTGATGTGACATCATCTGCTCAAACGGCGTATGTCAGGAGAATACGGGTAGACGCGGGTGCAGATGGTTTCTCCGACGGTGCACTTGATGGCTTTTCTCACCTTTTCTTTGCACCTCACTTAGAGTGAAAGCATTGGCACCGACTACAGGAGCACAGAGGTGAGTGGTAAAAGTGCAAAAGCTTATTGCCTGCCCCAGTGAGCATTTATTCCAGACATTGTCCTTTGCCTCCAATTCCAGTGGCACCACCTCTCCATCACAGCTGCTGGGTCGACTCCCTGTTACACCAGCCCTGTTCATACCCACTCACTGTGAACCCAAGCTACAGATACACAACTACAAATGAACCCATACAAATTCACAGTTTTTCCACAAGGCTATGCAGTATGTAACAGGATGGGTTAATTAAGTATTTTCTATCATTAATGCTATTATATATTGAAGGTTAAGGGACTTATGCTAAATGCAAAATGCCTGAATATTTGTCTGCATGAGTAAGGTTAAATATTGTTCTTGCCTAGCTCTGTTTAATCTAAATTTCAGAGCTGTTATACCTCCGCACATTTATACATATTATATTGGAAGCACACAAAAGCTGCGGCCGGTTTCACAAAGATGGACTTTGACTGTGGCTTAGATATAACAAATACTCAGATGGACGTCTAAATTCATCCATTGCACAAAGCAGTTTAGTTCTTGACTATCTTAATTCAGACTGTGGTACAATGATTTCTGGATAAATTAAGACTTTTTTCAAAATAAAAAAAATGTGTCTAAAGGAAAAAAATCAATAGCTACAAGGACTTTACTTTTATTAATTCAGTTTAGAGTGTAACAATAAAAAGAAAAATCTGATTTGGTCTCTAAAAACTCTTTCCCTTCTCTTTGCTCTTTCCATAACAATGTTAACAAACCACAAATTATGAGCCATGTTTTCCTGTTTTTTGTTGTTGGGTGCTACTGGCCAGTGCAGGTGTCATTGATTGTTACCATGGTAACATTGATCTTAGGCCTGAGGGTGAGGCGTGTAATATTTTGGGCTTAAAAAGGGTCACTCTTCACTTTTGTGAAAAGGTCTAACCAACATCAGACTGACCTATGAGCAACATTAAGAATGGCTCAACGTGTCTTTGTGAAACCGGCCTCTGTTATTTGCACTGTTAATTGTATTTTTTTTATTTTCTTTTTATTTAAAAATCTCTAATTTTACCCTTCTTTCCTTGTTCTGTTCTGCAGTCCTCGTCACTGCTAATTCTGCTGTTGGCCTGGGGAGTGCTGCAGACAGCCATGTCATCTCTGTGACACATGGTGTCACCAGCTGCTAACTTTTCATCTGTCAGTGATGAGCTTCAGCGGGAGGGTGTAACGTGTGAGGTTCACACCATCACCAAGGTGACCAGCCTGCAGATACCACTACTCTAAATCCAATCCCAGGTTTTTGTGGTGGTGGTGGTTGGTGGGTGGAAATTTAACACCTGTTCCACCCCCTAAAAATCTGATAATTACTCTCATTTTTGGATTTTTAAAATCTGAATTTCAGCCATTTTTTATTTCACAAAACCAAAAATAATGAGTCCTCTGAATCAGAGCTGTAATTTATCGCAACAACCCGACCAACCAGCTCTTGCATACATACACCCTGTCCTTGGGAGCTAGAAGTGATTGCAATTATCACTTAATGAAAACACCATATTCACTGTAATCTTTATCACTGATTGCACTTCCTACTCTAGGTGATGAGCATGTCATTTTCATGACAGAGTTGGAAAAGCACTTATCCACTCAAACTTGCACAAATGAGTCAAATCACCAAAATAGAATCAAAGAGTGGCCCCACAATGCATTAAGATGCTTCTCACTTCCACTATAAGAGCTGCGTTTCCTATTAAGTATTTAGCAGCGTTGGAAAATTAGCGCAATCTGAACCCAGTATGGATGCGACACTGATGTCACTGCTTAATGAACATAATGATTGATGAAAAATTAGACAAGCAGCTCATAATTACATCACTCCTAACACACTGGTACTGAGCTCCCAGGCTCCTCTGGATGAACATTTTTAGTTATGATAACAAAAGCTACATCAAGCACAAAATACACAACTCAAAAAACCCCCCAAAAAAACAGTACATTTCTGAACTAATCAATTAAAAGTCTCTTTTTCCTGTAGCGTCTTGACTTTGACTGATTGCTACGCAGATTTAACAGCATTTCTTGCTTAATTGTTCTTGAGGGAGAACAGTTGCTTGCAGTAGCTACTTGATTCAGTAGCACCCTGGTGTCTCAGTTGGCTGCGTATGTGGAATTCAAGCAATGCTGCAGCCTCAAGGTGTTTTTAGTCATGAGATCCCACTCAGTATTGCGCGATAATATATATATATATATATATATATATATTTTCTGTTGTGTATATATACACAACAGAAAATATATATATATATACACACAACAGAAAATGTCATGTGTATTTGTTGCACATTGTGCTAGAGGACGTGTTGGGATGTAACCTACGCTCTCAACAAATGAAGGTAAATTAAATCAATGAAAAACGCAATGAAAGAGAAATGCTGACTGCAATAAAAAAAAAGAAAAACGCTGCCTTGTCTCAAACACACGATATTGAGACGCACCTTAAAGAAACTTTATGGGGATGGTATTCACTGAGAGATTCACTGAATTTAAAATTTTCACAACCAAATCTTCAAGATGCAACAGTGGATCATGTCTTCAGGTCTTCACTATGAGACAGAGCAAGAGACTTGAGATACACTAACTCATGCTAAGGTACCGCTGCCTGGTTTTCACTGTTATACAAAGCTGCCATCTGGTGGTGAGTTAAAAGTCAGTTGTCTGATTGCAATCTGAAGGTCTCAATCCTGTCAAGAGTGTGTGTCAGCATCTTTGACTGTTTGTCCTGGAAATGAGGGCGCCCTATTGGCTGGATGCAGAAAGGCTTTAACCTCCACCCATTTCGATGTAATGTCAACAACATCATGGCTAAATTTTAAAGTTCTAACCTGACACAATCATCGTTATATTATGGATCAGACAGGATGATACTGTGTGTTATGTCTGGGGAAACCTATGTGTGTATGTGTGTGTGTGTGTGTATGTGTGTGTGTATGTGTGTGTGCGTGTGTGTTTTGGCGTCGTTATTCTCTTACCCAGGTCCAGCCTCTGGCACAGTGAGCCCAGCCCCTGCAGTACAGCCAGCTGCAGTTTGTAGGACACAGTGTGGGTGTAGACGGGTCCGGCCTTGGCGCTGATCGGAGCCTGCCGTCCCAGCGAGGAGCTCAGCTTTGGCAGAACCTCTTTAGAAACCCTTCTCCTCAGGAAGTCACCACACGTTTCACCCAGTGTACACAGCACCTGGCAGGGAGACTCGGCAGGTAATGATCATATGCAGCAAGTTTGCCCGAGGAGGAAAAGATATAAAATTAAGTCGAACTTGACACAGATGTTGACAAGTAGAATAATTTACAGTGACACGCTGAATCAATTGACACCTTTGCTTTGAGAAAAGAACACAAAAAAGTTTGATCTTCACTCATCGGAGAACAAGGCAGGCGGCCATTTTCATCCTCTGTGATAATATAGTATATACTAAATAGTTTGGAAAGACAAGTCTAAAAGGCAATCAATAAACAATTGATTGATCTTCCTGTATTGTTGGTTTAAATTTTTTTCAAAAAATGAATTAAAAACAATAAAATAGCCTGGCCACATTGTGGATCATAACTGTTCCACAATGAACTGACAGATCATAACCTTTCAATATAACATGCCTGCAAATCTGATGTAATAAAATGTGATTTTACATTTATTATTCAGTTGCTGCACATAATGACCAGATCCTGATGATACAGCATCACATTAAAGTGTTATATAATAAACTTTTTGTGTTTTTTATTTTACAATAGCCAAGCTGCAGATGTTATTAAATGATCCATTAACACATTAAAGCAAAAAAAAAAAAAATCAGGAAAAGGTATTTTTTAAACACTCATTGCTGCTGTTAATTAAATGAGAGACCCTGACGTACCCTGAAGGCTCTGAGGACGGCTAAAGGGTCATCAGCTGTCAGTCTCTGCAGGAGGGCGGGCCAGCAGCGATGGGCCATAGGCAGCAGTTCATTCTCCTTCTCACTCAGGACACACACGCAGAGCTCCAGCACGTCCAATACCTCAAGACAAAGACATGTCGCACAGAGAGTGTAACAATGACACATAGAGTTGTACAGGTAGCTTTGAGGTGATTAAGTTTCTCTACAGCTTCAGTGGCTTAGATTGAACAAAGTCTGGTTACACTAAATTCCTCCAGGATGAATTCCTTTGAGTTTTTAATCCCATAAAAAAAAAAAAAAAAAAAAACTTAAATCACAACTGAATTATACCAAGTCTTTTTTGTCTGACTCACATTAGGCCGGTCTGTCAGGCTTGGGCTATAGACTACAAGTCTATAATATTGAATAAGGATGACATGGAGCTGTGTGAGCTCACGACGACGAGATTCGTCACACCAACACAAAGACATCAGAGTGTAGAGACAATACTAATTTCTTTCTACGGTATCTTTTAATGAAAAGAAAGGTTCCTGTACAACGGTGAACAATCCTCACTTGAGTTATTCTCATCAAACCCAAAGGTCCCCCTTCTCACTACATCACACCTCATCACACTACAGACGCGGTACCTTGAGCCGGAGCCTGAGGCTGGGATTGGACAGCAGATGAATGCAGCGTTCCATAACATCTTTAGTGATGCTGAGGTGGGAGGGAAGCTCTGCTTTCACATCAGGACCATCGATATCTTCAACATCCTCGCACTCTGTGGGAGGAGGGACGTCTGGAAAGAGAGTGAATGTGCACGTTAGTCAACCCAGCAAAAAACTCTAGTGTTGTTGTTATTCATATTTTATATTCTGTCACTATAACCCAGTTTCCCTGCTGACAGGATAAATCTAATACAACCTGCACTACTAGGGAAATATAATCATCCTGTTTCTCCCTGGGACAGACTTCATATTACCGAGGTCCTCCGTGTCGTCGTCGTCCTCTATCCCGACGCCCTCTGCCAGCTCTTTCTGTTTACGGTAATCCAGCAGGAACTGGCGGATGTCGAGGACTTCCTGGTCAGTGGAGGTCTGCTTGGGTCTAGCAGACTCACTGGTCCTCTTACAGCTGGAGGGAAACCACCTCACTGAAGGAGGACGATAAGACAATACAAGAGCAATATAATAACAATAACACGTACAGACATGGGTGAGACTTGGTTACAAAGAAAGCAACAGACTGTGGAGTCTTCCTTACAATTTCCTGGCATTTTTCTCTTCTTGGATTCTCCAGCCTAAGCAATTCCAACTGTTGTGGTGCTGAGAGCCGACATTCAGCATGAATATTCACGACCTTTAAATCTAACTATTTTTTACTAAATATTCAAAACAAAACCTAAATATTTATATTAAAAACATATCCGGAAACCTCACCCAGTGCCTTCATCAGCGCGTGCAGCACGGAGCAGAAAAGGGCCGCTGTGTGGTCGTAGCTGAGATCCAGAGCCATCAGCACATCCTGAACAATGTCCTGGACCAGAGGCAGCAGGCTGCAGTCGGAGTGCGTCAACATCACTGTCAACACCCGTGGAGCCTGGCCAACAAGACGGGAGTATGATGAAATACATGGCATTTGACTCTGGACTTAATGTACTTTTGACCAGTTAAACAATGCGTTTGTCCCACCTCTGAAAATGCCACCAATGAGGGTCTGATTTTATGGTGTGAACTGCTGTTGCTTGTTCACTGTGTTTATAATTTGGCCCTACTATGCTCCCTGAAGCGATTAGTCAATAAGCAACTCAACATTAATTCCAATTGTTCACTAATTTAAATAATTAAACAAGCAAAAATCCACAAAATATTGTTGCTCTTTTCTGTTTTGTAAATTGAATATTTTTGTGTTTTGGACTTCTGATCCAACAAAACAAACAACCTGAAGACACCACCTTGGGCTATAATATTAATTAGTTAGAAAAAACAAATATAAACAGATAATATTGTTAAAAAATGTTGCCTCTGTTTTCTTAGTTCTTATTCTTACTCCTTTTTTTTCTAATGCTGCATCACTGCATCACCTTTACCTGTGGATGCTGGCTGAGCCTCTGCAGGTTGAGGGAGATGTCATTGAGCAGATAATCCGAGTTCTCATTGATCAGCTCCTTCAACGAGGGGTAGCCACAGGCTGCACTGATGTCCCACATGGAGCCCAGTGCTGCCTGGCTGACCAGTAGTGTCTCCTCCCCAGCTTTCTCCAGCACAGGGTACAGTGATGTCATCAACAGGGGACGGAAGTCTCGCCCCAGGGCCTGAGAAAAGCAGGCGATGCCTTCGAGCTGGATACACAGCTGCCAGATGTTACTGTTGAGCTGGTGGATTGTGGAGGTGGATGACGAGGGAGACGGGGAACCAAATGAGGAAGGAATCACTTGGAGAGAGTTTGCATTCACGTTGCGGACATCGCTGTTGGATATGGACAGGAGACTGGGTGAGCTGAGCAGCTACAGAAAGAGAGACGCCAAATGTCAGTGTCATGCAACAATAAACATGAAGGGACAATGTGGAGTTTTGACCACTAGTAGTGCTACAGAGAAATATTCTTATAAATGGATTGCTGTTTGATTGGGATGGGTTCACACAGTTCTGTTGATCATGGCAGTAAAGCGCCAAGAAATGCACCAACAAAGGCAGGGAAGAAGAAAAATGCTAGCAAGCTTAAACAGATCTAAACAATATAGGTTTCAAATTATGCCATGAATCAGCTTTGAAACATCGAATGTAAGTAATCTTAAAAAACTCCACAGAGTTCCTTTCATTTTACAAAAAAAAATAAAAAATCTTTACTGGGTGTCTCAGAAACAAAATACACACAAAAGAATTTCCAAGGGTACCTTAATGTTAACAAAAAAAAGGTAGGTTGAAGGTTGAAGGTACCTTCAATTTTACAAAACTGAAAAAACACAGTTAGTGGCTGAATAAAAGCAACATTAACCCAAACAAATTAATGTTAAAGGCTACAACTTATGAAAAAGATTATGTGTTTAACTTGTCTCGTCTATAATGAATGCAGCTCACATTAGCCATCACTCCTGCTGTATCAGAAAAGAGAACAAACGGGGGCTGTGCTAACTGGCTGCCTGTAGCGTCAACCCTGTTCATATTAATCCCATGTTCCATTTCTGAATGTAAATCATTTGACTTGAGGGAGGAAACCGTGACAGTCTCTACCTTGGCCAAACCATCTGTATTTCTGAGCTTAGAGTCCTTATTATCTGGTGGTGCGTCTCCAGAGACACATTTCAGCTGACAAGGAGGAACTGCACGTTTATCTACAAGCTAACACAGCACTGTCGTTGTTTTTGGTTGGAGGCCCTGGAATATTTTCCATCAGCTCAATAATAATAATTCCTTTTAAAATTCTGCACAGTTAGTTGAAAGCCTGGAGCAGCTCTTCCAGCTCTTCAGTCCAAGGCCATATTGTGAACACAGTGTGAATGTGTTTCTCTGTGACGCCTGGAGCGCTTCGTTTGGAGTGAAGTGTTCTGACCGTGATCAAATTTAAATGCAGAGAGAGAGTTGTGCAATATGGGCTGGAAATGGGGAGTCTAATACAACACTCGAATAGAAAATGTCCACAGAATGCAAAATGAGATGTCAAATTTTAGAATTAAATGGTAGAGCATCACTTCTTCATTCAGAATATCATCACATGAAGAGGGGGATCATCTGAGACACACGATGATCATCACAGAGAGTTTACTGATTTATCTGATGATGGTGCAATATTCACAACCCATAAGACAATCCATTGCCACATTTAATTTAATTTTAAACCATTAAAAGGAGGAGTTCAACATTTTGGGAAATGCACTCATTTGCTTTCTTGATGAGAGTTCAGTAAGAAGATCAATATCACTCATGTCTCTCCACTTAATATGAAGCTTGAGCCAGCAGGCAGTTAGCTTAGCTTAGCATTAAGACAAAGGGGAAAAACAGCTGACCATGTGTTGTCTAAAATAAAAAACATCCACTTGAGTGAGTTTGCCAGGCGGCCAGTGGAGACTCCAAGAAGTCCTTAGCATGGCAAAGAAATTGTTACAGCATGTATCTCCCCACAACAGCCACAAATTGTCGGTTTTACAGTTCTATTTTTGTGCAGATTAAACAAACCAGACACTAAGTTAAGAAGAGGTGCTGGGAGACAAATTCTGTACCTTTGAACAGCTTCCCTTTACTTCCAGGCTTTATGCTAAGATAAGCTAATCACTTTCTGGCTGTAGCTTCATAATTAGCATACAGACACTAGAGTGACATCAAACTTCTCATCTACAGCAATCGTCAGCAGGAGAGTGAATAGGCATATTTCCCAAAACCCCTCAAACTATTCCTTTAATCGTGTCATGAACTGGTTGATAAATCATGTTTTGTCAGATTAAATAAACAAGTAAAACCCGGGATGAAACATTAAAACTGCAGGACTGAATCTATCCTCACCCGTTGGTCCTGTCGGTCTCTATCCGTCTCCTCACTGACAGTAATCAAGTGCCAGTTGCTCAGACTGGTGTACTCTTCCATGACAGACACCACTGCAGCTTTAAGGTCTTCCATGGTGGCAGAGCGCCTGCGGCCTTCACCCTCAAAACCCTGACTCTCTGTTGCCACGCCGATGCCTGCGGCACCCCTGACAATCTCGTTTAGCGCCATGGCGGCCTGCTTCCTGTACGCTGAAGACTGGCCGTACAGGTCCAGAAAATGATCGGTCAGAAGGTAGATGTTGCCATAGTAACCTAAAGATAGAAAGAGGGAAAGTTACTTGCATTTGTGGCAGAGGAGCCGTCAAAAAAAAAAAAAGTCATATGTAAACATAAAGCATTTATATCACACATTTAATATTCTTTATATTCCTTTTGCAATTTTACATTTGACCCAAATAAATCACTGCTCCATATGCATAGAGATAACAAAAATCTAGATGATTTTGATACAGCCCATCCCTCATGTTCATACTGAGCAGTACTCATACCTAACGTCCGACAGATCTCCATGAGCACAGAGAAGATCTTCTCATCAGTGAAGTAGAGAAAATGCTTCCTGTGTGTGTGAGCAGTGCAGGAATCAGGAGACGTTGAACTTGTTTCTATGGTAGAGTTGTGCCGTCTTTCTTCTACAATGCAAACATCCATCACATCCAGCTCCAGCACCTGAAACAGGCATATATACAACACAGGTTGTGTTTTTAACAATCTGTGATTTAAGATGAATTGTAACTCCTCTCAACTGTGGTTTAAGTTTGCTGCCGTGAGAATAGAGGCAAAGTCAGACTCCATGAAGGGTCTCATATGAAACTGCCAACTATTAAAATGCTCAAATATTGTATACTGTAAAAAGTGAATTCTATAATTAGCTAATAAATGGCCACACTAGTTTATTAGCTGTATATGGGCAGTAATGGCCGATAAAGCCACACACACACACACACACACACACACACACACACACACACACACACAATCCGAATGTCGCGGTTATGAACACTCCTCATACTCTGTTATCTGGAGAGACAGGACACACAGATGCACAGTCCCTATAAAATTGCACTGATACAAGAGAAAAAACATAATAATCTCACTGCTGAGTAGCTACAGTTTGAGCATTTGTTACAACATGTTAAATTAAAGTAAAGTAACAAGGTATAAATACAATACAGACAAATGCCATAAGAATATTTAAATGATTACAATAACCCAAGTCCTGTATGTTAAGTAGCGAGAGAGAGTTGTGCCAATATGGGCTGGAAATGGGGAGTCTAATACAACACTCGAATAGAAAATGTCCACAGAATGCAAAATGAGATGTCAAATTTTAGAATTAAATGGCTAGGATCACTTCTTCATTCAGAATATCATCACATGAAGAGGGATCATCTGAGACACACGATGATCATCACAGAGAGTTTACTGAGATTTTATCTGATGATGTGCAATATATCACAAAACCATAAGACAATCTCATTGCCACATATTTAATTTAATTTTTAAACCATTAAAAGGAGGAGTTCAAACATTTTGGGAAATGCACTCATTTGCTTTCTTGATGAGAGTTCAGTAGAGATCAATATCACTCATGTCTCTTCCACCTAATATGAAGCTGAGCCAGCAGGCAGTAGCTTAGCTTAGACATTAAGACAAAGGGGAAAACAGCTGACCATGTGTTGTGTCTAAAATAAAAAACATCCACTTGAGTGAGCTTGCCAGGCGGCCAGTGGAGACTCTCCAAGAAGTCCTTAGCATGGCAAAGAAATTGTGCACAGCATGTATCTCCCCACAACAGCACCACAATATGTCGGTGTTCTAGTTCTTTGTGCAGATTAAACAAAACCAGACACTAAGTTAAGAAGAGGTGCTGGGAGACACAATTCTGTACCTTTGAACAGGCCTTCCTTTACTTCCAGGCTTTATGCTAAGAATAAGCTAATCACTTTCTGGCTGTAGCTTCATAATTAGCATACAGACACTAGAGTGACATCAAACTTCTCATCTACAGCAATCGTCAGCAGGAGAGTGAATAGCATATTTCCCAAAACCCCTCAAGACTATTCTGCTTAATCGTGTCATGAACTGGTTGATAAATCATGTTTTGTCAGATTAAATTAAACAAGTAAAACCCGGGATGAAAACATTAAAACTGCAGGACTGAATCTATCCTCACCCGTTGGTCCTGTCGGTCTCTATCCGTCTCCTCACTGACAGTAATCAAGTGCCAGTGCTCAGACTGTTACTCTTCCATGACAGACACCACTGGCAGCTTTAAGGTCTTCCATGGTGGCAGAGCGCCTGCGGCCTTCACCCTCCAAACCCTGACTCTCTGTTGCCACGCCGATGCCTGCGGCACCCCTGACAATCCTCGTTAGCGCCATGGCGGCCTGCTTCCTGTACGCTGAGACTGGCCGTACAGGTCCAATGAAATCCGGTCAGAAGGTAGATGTTGCCATAGTAACCTAAAGATAGAAAGAGGAAAGTTACTTGCATTTGTGGCAGAGGAGCCGTCAAAAAAAAAAAAAGTCATATGTAAACAAAAGCATTTATTCACACCATTTAATATTCTTTATATTCCTTTTGTCAATTTTACATTTTGACCCATATAAATCACTGCTCCATATGCATAGAATAACAAAATCTTAGATGATTTTGATACAGCCCATGCCTCATGTTCATACTGAGCAGTACTCATACCTAACGTCCGACAGATCTCCATGAGCACAGAGAAGATCTTCTCATCAGTGAAGTAGAGAAAAATGCTTCGCGTGTGGTGGAGCAGTGCAGGAATCAGGAGACGTTTGAACTTGTTTCTATGGTAGAGTGTTGCCGTCTTCTTCTACAATGCAAAACATCCATCACATCCAGCCAGCACCTGAAACAGGCATAATACAACACAGGTTGTGTTTTACAAGAGTAATTCAAGATGAATTGTAACTCCTCTCAACTGTGGTTTAAGTTTGCTGCCGTGAGAATAGAGGCAAAGTCAGACTCCATGAGGGTCTCATATGAACTGCCAACTATTATTAAATGCTCAAAATATTGTATACTGTAAAAAAGTGAATTCTATAATTAGCTAATAAATGGCCACACTAGTTTATTAGCTGTATGATGGGCAGTAACAGGAGCCGATAAAGCCCTACACAGCACACTACACAC